ATGGGCGAGAATCTCTAACCCAAGCACTGTCCAAAGATATAGACTTTCACAAGTGAAATACACGTGTGTAAATTTGGGGGAGGGCTAAAAGTTACATCTTTAAAAAGTTAGGTAAGAAATAGTTAGGATCCCCGCACCTAAAACGTGAATGTGGCGCATCCCTAAACGAGCGAGAACTTACGAGAGAAAAGAAAGTTGATATGTTCGAGAATCCCTTACCCAAGCACGGTCCAAATCGATAGACTTCCACAAGTGAAATACACGTGTGTAGATTTGGATGAGGGTTAAATGTAGCATCTTTAAAGAGTTAGGTGGGCATTGCATGGGATCCCTGGATCTAAAACGCGAGTGTGGCGCATCTCTAAACGCACGAAAACACGTTAAAGAAAAAAATTCAATGAGCAAGAATCTCCATCCTAAGCATTGTCCAAAGCGGCTTACTTCCACAAGTGAAATAAACGTGTGTAGATTTAAGGGAGGGCTAAAAGTAGCATGTTTGGAAAGTTAGGTGAGCATTGGTGGGGATCCCTGCACCTAAAACGCGAGTGTGGCGCATCTCTAAGCGCGCGAGAACTTACTAGCGAAAAGAAAGTTTATAAAGGCGAGAATCTCTTACCCAAGTACTGTCCAAATCAAAAGACCTCCACAAGTGAAACACACGTGTGTAGATTTGGGGGAGGGCTAAAAGTAGCATCTTTAAAAAGTTAGGGAAGCATTGCTTGAGATACCCGCACCTAAAACGCGAGTGTGGCGCATCTCTAAACGCACGACAACTTGCGAGAGAAAACAAAGTTGATATGGGCAAGAATCTCTTACCTAAGCACTATCCAAATCGATACTTTTCCACAAGTGAAATACACGAGTGTAGATTTGGAGGAGAGCTAAGAGTAGCATCTTTAAAAAGTTGGGTAGGGATTGCTTGGGATCCCTGCACCTAAAACGCGAGTGTGGCGCATCTCTAAACGTGCAAGAACTTACGAAAGAAAAGAAAGTTGATGTGGGCGAGAATCTCTAACCCAAGCATTGTGCTAATCGATAGTTTTCCACAAGTGAAATACACGTGTGTAGATTTGGGGGAGGGCTAAAAGTAGCATCTTTAAAAAGTTAGGTAAGCATTGCTTGGGACCCATGCACCCAAAACGCGAGTGAGGCGCATCTCTAAACGTGCGAGAACTTACAAGAGAAAAGAAATTTAATATGGGCGAGAATCTCTAACCCAAACATTGCGCTAATCGATAGTTTTCCACAAGCGAAATACACGTGTGTAGATTTGGGGGAGGGCTAAAAGTAGCACCTTTAAAAAGTTAGGTAGGCATTGCTTGGGAGCCCTGCACCTAAAACGCGAGTGTGGCGCATCTCTAAACGCGCGAGAACTTACGAGAGCAAAGAAAGTTGATAGGGGCGAGAATATCTCACACAAGCGCTATCCAAACCGATAGACTTCCCCAAGTGAAATACACGTGTGTAGATTTGGGGAAGGGCTAAAAGTAGCATCTTTAAAAAGTTAGGTAAACATTGGTTGGGATCCCCGCCCCTAAAACGCGAGTTTGGCGCAATTCTAAACGCGCGATGACTTACGAGAGCAAAGAAAGTTGATATGGGCGCCAATCTCCAACCGAAACACTGTCTAAATCGATAGTCTTCCACAAGTGAAATACACGTGTGTTGATTTGGGGGAGGGCTAAAAGTGGCATCTTTAGAAAGTTAGGTAGGCATTGCTTGGGATCCCTGCACCTAAAACGCGAGTGTGGCGCATTTCTAAACGCGCGAGAACTTACGAGAGCAAAGAAAGTTGATAGGGGCGAGAATATCTCACACATGCACTATCCAAATCGATAGACTTGCCTAAATAAAATGTACGTGTGTAGATTTGGGGGAGGGCTAAAAGTAGCATCTTTAAAAAGTTAGGTAAGCAGTGGTTGGGATGGCCGCCCCTAAAACGCGAATGTGGCGCATCTCTAAACGCGTGAGAACTTACGAGAGAATAGAAAGTTGATATGGGCGAGAATCTTTAACCCAAACACTGTGCAAATCCACAGTTTTTCAGAAGTGAAATACGCGTGTGCAGATTTGGAGAAGGGCTAAAAGTAGCATCTTTAAAAAGTTAGGTAAGCATTGGTTGGGATCCCCGCCCTTAAAACGCGAGTGTGGCGCATCTCTAAATGCGCGAGAGCTTGTGAGAGAAAAGAAAGTTGATATGTGCGAGAATCTCCAGCCCAAACACTGTGCAAATCGATAGTTTTCCACAAGTGAAATACACGTGTGTAGATTTGGGGGAGGGCTAAAAGTAGCATCTTTAAAAAGTTAGGTAAGC